AAACCACAAAATAACTGATTAAAAAGGAAAGTGATAAAATTTTTTAGGATGTTCCAAAAAGGAAATATAACAAAGTTTTAAGGGACGGAGGGAGTATTAGAGTGCGATCGAAACTCAACTGTATAATCGATTCTCGAAAATGCTTAGAAATGGTGTGTCATCTTGTTCTAATACTATATCTGTTATATTAACATTGGGACAAAAGAAAGTAACACAGTTATTATTACAAAAAATGGGTTCACGTGATTGATATTGAATTAATAAAGTTAAATAAAAACGATCATCCCTTTTCAATAGGAGTACTATTTGAGAACACATTAATCCCATGTATTGTAGGTCTGTGTACTTATGTTTTGACATTTTGAAATTATCAATATATATTAAACATTAGGCCTAATTACTTGAATTAAAAAAAAAGCCTACTGACATTATATATATAAGGAAAAAATCTGGTTCTAATTTTCTCTTCTATATTTTCGGGCCTAGGGCAATCCCCCTGCTCTCTCTAGGGCCAGCACTGTGTTTGGTGTACACTTTTTCTATGTTTGTCTATATGTATTAAAACAATTAAACAAATGGTCTATTTGCGTAAATTAAATGAATATACAAAAAGTAAAATAAAAAAGTGTATAAATAGATTTTTTGTATATACAAAATACAAGTAATAATTCTATCAAAAATGTTAAAGGTACCCCAATTTGTACCGCAATTTGTACCCATCCTATTTTTTGTGGCTCACAAAAGCAGCTCATTAAAGTGGAGCAATTCATTTATTGAAGTGGGCTCTTGTGAGCCACAAATATAGGCTAGAGTACAAATTGGGGTACAAAATTGGGTAGTTTGTAATTCTATACTACCTCCGTCCCGGTGGACTTTGCCAAATGCAAAGTAACTGAGAAATAAGAATAGTAAAAACTGTGTAATTGTGATTTGTGCGGAGGAGAGAAAAATGTGCAAAACCACAAATTAATTGTTTTAATAGAAAAGTAACAAAATTTCTTGAACAACCAAAAAAGAAAAGTTTTTGACAAAGTCCCATAAATGGAGGGACTACAATTTTTACTCGACACTCACTTTTGCAATGCGTTTAGAGATTCGAATCCCGACCCCCCTTTTTGTCTAGGGAATCTTATACCTTTATGCTCTCACCAACCACACATTATTAAACCTTTATACTTTAGTAATGCTAGAGTACAGTATCACCTTCATGGAAAGCACTATTACGAGTATCGAGTCAGTTACACTTGTGTTGAAGATCCTCGAATTGAATAATGGGATGAGTCAGGAGAGGCATAGAACATTAGAGGCGGCCGCAGACAGTTTGAAGTCCCAAAAAAACCTCTTATACACACTTTTGTACACATCTATGTTTGTGAAACGTTTTTTATTTGTGAACATCGACTCACAGACAATGTTTTGCACAAACAAATTATTGTCTGTGAACCGGATTCACTAGACAAAAAAAGCTTCACAAATATGATGTGTATAAGGTGTGTACAAGGGTGTGTACATCAAGGATAAGGAGCACTATAAAAGTTATATTCCCTCCGTCCCTAAATGTTCTTCCGTAGTATAAATGGCACACGGATTAAGAAAATGAGAATTGTGTGGTGGAGAGTTGTGCAGAGAAAAGAGAAATGTGTAAGAATTGCTGTGAACCACAATTTTTTTGCCAAAAAGGGAAAGTGAAGTTGTTTTTGAAACGGACGAAAAGGGAAAGTTCTTTTAGGGACGGAGGGAGTACAAACAAAAATAGTAAACAAAATAATTATACTTATCTGACGCATGACTAAATATTTTAATGTAATTATGTATTCTATCAATCTACACAAAATTTACTTTCAAAACAAATGTTTCAATGTTAAAATTACTTTCATACTATAAATTTCAATTCACACGACTATATGTAATAACTAGAATTATTGAAATCATCCAAAATTTACTCAAATTGACTAAACAAAGTCTTTTGCAACTATTAAAGAAAGTATATTTTAATTCTCTATACTCTACCATTAGCTTTTATTTTGATATCAATTAAGTTAAAAGTATTTCTACTTTAATGATAGCACTATGTTGGTGTATATTAATGCATTGCATAAATTTGGTTGTATGTTATTTTATTAATTCTAAAATGATGTGCTAACGCACATAGTATTCTTTTGTTGACATGCTAGTAGGATACATAAAGAAAGAGTATGTACATTGAAAACATACATTATAGTAATACTAGCATGTAGCACGTAGTATTATTTAGAACTTAGAACTACCCGGCCAGTTTTGGAAGGTCAATAATATGTTGAGAAACTGATCTGAACTGCATCAGAAATGGTACGATATCAAACGACTCCAATCCTAAACTAAAATATATCAAAAATGATGTTTGTACACACTCTTATACACACTTTTGTACACATGTACCTATGTCTGTGAAAGTTTTTTTTTTGTCTGTGAACATCGATTCATAGACAATGTTTTGCACAAACAAAATATTGTCTGTGAACCGGATTCACAGACAAAAAAAAGCTTCACAGACATGATGTGTATAAGGTGTGTACAAGGGTGTGTACATCAAGCATGGTTGAAAATATATAGAATCATTTGGAGCTACATAATACAGTAAAAGTGTTAGAAATTTACCGGATATTTTCAAACTCGCTTATCCCAATTAAACTTTAATGATTAAATATGTGTCATATGGAGTTGTATATTCAATCCAGCATTAAACTTTTATATTCACGAAAACCCCATTTTATAATTTATTCAATTGATTCTTATTTGTGTTTGGTTAACATCAAGGAAATGTGTCATAATTTATTTGATTGAATGATATCTTATATTGCAGATATGATGAATTACTTTTATGCCATTTAACTTTTATAACATCAATACCTTAAAAATTTAAATGTTAAAGCAAAAAAAAATATGAAAATAACAAGAATAGACATTCAAATATAATTAATATTCTGTCTGTCCATGAAACTAACCGATCTCTGTCAATAATAAGATTATTTTTAGTAAATAAAATTTACATATTTAGACACTACATTAAAAGTTTTATAAAGTCACAAAAAAATAAATTTGATTACAATTGATATATATAAAGAAATTAAATGAAAAAGAATAATTAATTGAAGGTATTTTCGGAAGAAAATTAGATCACCCCGGGAATGTGAGATTACCTAAGGCATGGATGGATTTAACATTCCCCTCCATTTAACATTCCCGGGAATGTAACTTTCTCGATTTTTCTTTAAACCCGTGAACCAAACAAGGGTATCTAACATTCCGTGCATCACTTTCATGTGAGATTATCCAAACCAAACGGGCCCTAAGGGATAATAAGAGGATGAAGTGATGGATTATTATTGGATTCTCACTTCACCATACAAGAAAGTAATGAAAAGGAAAGCAAAAGAAAAAGAAGGATGATTACGCATTTGAGTATCCTTTATACTCGTATGAGAAAATAATTATTGAATTGACTGTAATACTTATTTGACAAATCAAGTTACTCTTTGTATTCATGTGAATCATGCATTATCTCAACTATAAATGTACACCTCTATTAACTACAATTTGCATCATTTCGGATTGTTCTCATTTCTTACGTGAAAAAGTTTGTTTTCGGACCTGAACCATATATGAACATACATATCAAAATATGGGATGTGGAACAAATAATAAATAATCTTAACGTGTGAAAAGCTCGAGATGTACTCGCAATCATCTCTCATGCAATTTTATGGTAAGCCACTTTAAGCAGTAGTAAAATGTATTTTTTTTAAAAAGCGTAGTGATAATTTTATAAATAATTGAACTTTTTTATAAACTTGAAAAAGTGCACTACGTGAACATAAAAACGCACCGAGAGCTACAAAAGTAAATATTTCACATTTTACACGTTAAGACAATTAGCTTGTTTATTTAATATGCATTATGTATGTTTATATATATATATATATATATGTATACATAGAGTCCTGTTCCGGTGACAATGATTCTTTCCTTGAAAATGTGAATGATGCGAAACGGATGCGGTGCACGTCTAGATTCTTCCCTTGAACATTTATCGTTAAGATATTGCACATTTCGCGACAATACAAAAATCACTTTATTTATAAAAATACTCAATGGTAATACATAATTCTCAAATCCTGCGTTATCACCGCTATATCGATTTTAAGAAGTAATATTCGGCTATTAGCCATTGATGTGAAGGAAATAATGATTTTAAGTCAAAACAAGGTAGCATGGTTATGACAATGGAAAATAATTTAATGATGATGCAATAACAAAAGTGCATTAGTTTATTTCTAAAGCGGATGAGTACTTGAGTAGTCACTAAGAGAATCTTTAGTATTATGTTGTGCACGATTTTATATACGCAAAATAATGAGTGCATATACCGTGCAACCGGTATACGGTGAGCACCGTATACCGGGACGGCATTATATTATTTTTTTCCTTTTGTTTTTAAAAAATGGTAATGACTTTTTTATTTTTGATCCGATTTTTATAAAATTTATATCAACATTTTTTATTTTTCATGATCTTTCAAATGAGATCAATATTGTGTATTTCATGATCCGATTTTTTTTTAATTTTTTAATTTTTTGAAAAAAAAAATTAATTTAATTTTTAATATCGAAATATTTTTCTTAATTTTTTAGTATTTTTACGAATTTTTATTATTTTTTATTATTTTATTAGGAATTAAAACATTTTAATAGCTATAAGGGTATAATTGTCCAAGGTACACATAATTAGTCCTATGTAAACATAGTTTATTTTTTGGTCCTATTTGTGAAAATTGAATGACTTTTAATCCTATTTTGATAATTAACTCAATTTTGTATAAAAATTCATAACCAACCAAAATCATTATTAAATCTTTCTACTTTTTGAAACGTTCCCCGTCTATTATTTTTGAAACTTACCTGGCACAGACAAATTTGTGTTTACCGTCAGTCTCGTTTCTAACACATGACACAAAATATTATGAAGGCGGGTCCACGTTCACACGCCCCGCGACATGTGGCCAATGTGTGTATTTATAGTGAGCGTTAGAAGGGCAACAATGAACCAGAAACTCAAAAACAAAGACAAAGAGGCAGAGGGAGAGGAGGGAGAGTTGAGCCTGATCGGAAATGGGTGGTTGGGCGATTGCCGTGCACGGCGGAGCCGGAGTGGACCCTAATCTTTCCGTGGAGCGCCAACAAGAAGCCAAGGCACTGCTCACTCGTTGCCTCGATCTCGGCATATCCGCCCTCCGGTCGGGTCTCCCTGCCCTCGATGTCGTCGAGCTCGTCGTAAGTAATACGCCTTAAACATGTGTTTCACTCTCACATAAAACGTATTAATACGCGACCGGTGCGAGATAACTTAATAAAATGATTCATAAGGCTAATCGTTACCATTTCTGTCGTATGACACCGGTGTGACATAGCTTAATAAAACGCACATTTGCAGACTATAATTCAGAAGCATTCCTGTTGTAACTAACTAATTGTGCGTTTCATTTTGTGTAATTGACAAAAAACAAGGTGCGTGAATTGGAAACGGACCCACTGTTCAACTCCGGCCGTGGATCTGCTCTGACGGAGAAAGGGACGGTGGAAATGGAGGCGAGCATCATGGACGGGAACGGCAGGCGATGCGGCGCCGTATCGGGGCTGACAAGAGTGAAGAACCCCATCTCTCTCGCCCGCCTCGTGATGGAGAAGTCGCCGCACTCTTATTTGGGGTTTTCCGGCGCCGAGGAATTCGCCAAGCAACAGGTCTCTGTTTCCTTCTAACAGTCAAACTAATACTCCCCACATAAATTATTATTGGAACCTTTATGAATTCTGGTAATCCAACTTCCGGAGTATATTCTATTGTTTGAAATTTGCCAAAGATTATTATAGCAGTTGGAGGCCCGGCCGTCTTTTAAGACGTTTATTTAGACTTTAGAGTGATACAATACAATAATACCATTTAGAAAGCAATTAAACAAAAAAAGGAAGTGCATATAAAAATCAATTTTTTTTTATTTGGTTCAGAAAACTAAATATGTGAATCCATAAAAAATCTATATTTAAAACACATTTTGTAATGAAAGTGTGTGTTTGATAATACTTTTTTTGGTAAAAGTAAGAGAGTGAGTTGATGACCCGCTGAGTTGGACGGCTTCCTAACTTCTTGTGTTTGATAATTTTTGAATTGGCTGAATATGATGAAATTAGACTGAATTGGATTAATTTGTTGAACTATGTAAAAAGTTATATTTAAATATACTTCGTATTTTATTAATAAAATAAAGAAAAAATTATATGAAAAATAGCTCAACTAGTATGAAGTATTCTTCTACAAGGTCAATTAATTCAGCCAGAAAAATGTATCTAATCTGACTTATTTTGATTAGTGCATAATTCAATATGTGAAATCAAATGTTGCATGTTTAATAAAATAATTGGCTAATAAGGTTCATAATGCAAAATGGAGGTTACCAAACCGGCTCAAAATGTACGGAGTAATAAATATTGAATAGTAACATTAGGAGTGGTCACATTTATATTCATTACTTTTATTTTGATTATATATTTGGAATTATTTATTTTTATATTTGTGGTCCGGTACTCAGGTTTTGAATTTTTTAATTGTAGTGGTATTTGGACTGTTATGATAAAGACATTCTCAAAATCTGTCTTTCTATAATATTTAGCCTTCCTACCATATACGGAGTAAAAGTTACTTTCTTATTTTTTTTGTTTACTGTAACATTTTTAGTCTTTTCTCAATAGTTTAACCAACAATATGTGGTGAATTAAAATGTGGCTGTAATAATGTCAAGAACCAAATTTGTGAATTTAATATTATTCAAAGGATTAAATGTGAAAAGGTTAAAAATGCGGATAAAAAAGTCTCTCTCTAACAAGTAACAATATTATAATGACTAAAATTAGAAAAAACGTACCATATGAAGGCTTCATTTCATTTTGAATTACCGAGTACTGTCTTGATGTCTTTACTTGTTACAATTTGATATGTCAATCATCATTGTATTTAGGTTAGCATTAAAAAGTTATAGAAGTTCATACTGTGAGAAATAGGTATTCTTGCAAATGTGCATTATAAAGCACATCAATAATCAATTTATTAATTTGTTTATTTATTTGTTATGTAAAGGGAGTGGAAATGGTAGAGAATGATTACTTCGTGACCGAGGAAAATAAGGAGATGTTGAAGCTCGCAAAGGAAGCCAAAACCATTGTGGTAAACAATTTTGATCAGTAAAACCATTTCTTTCTCAAACTTGCATGCTTGAATTTTCTACTATGAAAGTGAAAGTAATAATAATTGATGGTGTGTGGAAATATGAACAGTTTGATTACAGAATTCCACTAAAAACAATGAGCGATGTGGCAGCGGAGAGCCCAATCCAGATGAACGGGCTTCCGATAAGCATTTACGCGCAGGAAACAGTAGGATGCGTGGTGGTGGATGGCGAGGGGAGATGTGCCGCCGCCACATCAACTGGCGGGCTAATGAACAAGATGACTGGAAGAATCGGTGACACACCGATCATCGGCGCCGGGACTTACGCGTGTGAAGTCTGCGCTGTGTCTTGCACCGGGGAGGGGGAGGCAATCCTGCGTGGGACCCTTGCTCGTGATGTGGCAGCGCTAATGGAGTACAAAGAGTTGGGCCTCCAAGAAGCAGTGGACTATGTGATCCAGAAGAGACTGGACCAGGGACAGGCTGGGCTTATTGCAGTGTCCAATAAGGGAGAGGTGGCCTATGGTTTCAATTGTGTTGGGATGTTTCGGGGATGTGCTAGTGAAGATGGGTTCATGGAAGTCGGGATTTGGGAGTAATAAATACTTTTTTGATCGGATTTATTCCTCACTTTTGTGGATGGTGATTTGATCAATTAATAAAACTTAAGACCTTTTGTTGTTATATTTTGCCTATTATTTCTGTAATCTCTTTAGCTTGTAGTTGTTGAATAGTTGGCAAGTTTAAATATTGTATTTCCTCTATGTCATTTCAAAGTTCTAATACATTACTCTCATATTCAACTTAACTATATTAAATTCTAATTTCATATTTGATGGAGTATATGACCCACGAACTCTCGGCCTTACATACTTCCACTACTACAATCCGGCCCAATAGACCTAGGTGGCCCAAGTACAACGAACAAGACTCCGGACAACCCATACTACGACAAGGTGCAGGGGACGTGCGGCCAAAAGAGCCCAGGGGACGTACGTCCAACAACAGTCTTCCAGGCGCACAGATGCCACAAGGGGACGTACGGCCTTTAAACAATTGAAGAGTCTCGGGTACGTACGGATTCTAACACATGAAGAGTCATGGGTACGTACGGCCTCTAAGATATGAAGAGCCTTGGGTACGTACAACCTCTAACACATGAAGTGCCCTGAGTATTAGAGCTTCTCTCTTACAAAAGAGGAACTCTAATACATGAAGAGCTCCAGTTACGTACGGCCCTTTGGGGACGTACGTCCTTCACCACATAACGGCCCTTTGGGGATGTACGTCCTTCACCACATGACGGCCCTTTGGGGACGTACGTCCTTCACCACATGACGGCCCCCTGGGGACGTACATCTTCCTGCACATGAAGTCCTCCCCAGCTATGTACGGCCCTAGGGAACGTACATCCTTCAGCACATGAAGTCCTCCTCAGCTATATACGTCCCCAGCACGCCACCAGAGCCCAAATGGCAATATGGCTTTCGGCACATGCAGCCCCCGGGAGCATGTAGCCGAGGGCACTCTCCTCGACAGGATCTTCTCTCTACATGCTCTGAGTCACCGCATTGAATGCGTTGTCACGTCCAAGCACCGCATTAAATGCGGTGTCACATGCTATGCCGGTGCCAGATGTTGTGCCTAGCTGGGTTGACTCTCCACCGGTGGTTACTTGCCACGTGTACCCACATTAATTACCCCGCATTTATGGCAGCTATAAATAGCTAGCCACTTCATCATTGTAAAGGATCCCAAATTCGAATCTTGAGCTCATTTTTAATACACACCTACTCTCCTTCTCTCTTACTTATTGCTGTGACCTTTCTCTTGATATTTTTCATAATATCCCTCGGATAAGCTACCCCCGAGGACATTATCCATTAATATTATTTATATACAACAAAAGAGGATAGTTGTTTAATACGAAGTAAAAGTTAATGTCTGTGTTGTTGGGTGTGTACTCTCAGCTTAATTATTGAACCTAACAAATAGACTCACATACAGTATTTCACTATCTCAAGATTGTTTAGCCACTTCACAACTCAGTTCTTACCCACTCTCTGCTCTCATAAAGGGGCCTCTCATAAAGAAGGGGAAACTCTTTGTCCCTGTAAGGATCGTTTATCCATTTCCGCCTCAGGTCTCCAACCTCCACAATAGACTCACACACACCACTCTAGGGAAGGCTACTCCACTCACCTAGTTTTCATCTCCTACCACTAAGGAACCTCTCTCTCACACTCTCTACCACTAAGATCAATCTAAAAATATGTAAACAAAAGGAAATTTTGAAGGATCTATACCTTGAGAGCCTCTAGGTGGCTTGCCTCAACCAGATCAGACCAATGGGTTAAATTGGAAAAGCTCGAGAGATGCCATCTGCCCGAACAGATATCGTCCCTCTGCATGAGGTTCCATATTAGAAAATTCTATAAACATCCGATCATCGACCGGTATGTTATTAAGAACTGGATTCTTGAGTTGTGCAGGACTGACAGGGTTTTTCAGCTCATTATCTGGACCGGTCAAATCAACCACGTGATCGATCGGGATAAGTGTGCTGCAATCATTCCCTCTCCGTCTCTTCCGGGCTTGATCAGCGTTCGTCTAGCCCTCGGAAACCATTTTTTCCTTACCTTTCCCAGCGGAGGCAGACGGGGTCGTGGCAGATATGGGATGCCGAACGGGAATAGGGGATATCACACCTACATAGGAGGAAATAAAAGATAAGGAACAGAGTTGAACGAAGATTGATCGGGTTAGAATAAATGAACTTACCAATCCCAGCAGCCAACATCTTGGAGGGAGTAATAAAACCCCGAAGACTCTGAGATCCTCTCAGACGCAGAGATTCAGCTTGACAATGCAGAACGACATCTAATCTGGGCTCAGAATCCCGAACAGGGTAAGCGTTCCACCGATCAGGAAATGGAAGGGAAGCACCCACACAGACAAAGAGGAACCGTTCCTCCCAATCAGCTGACGGTGTAAGGTTCTCCGTGAACAACTGACGATTAGCTCGGGCCACCAACTTCAGATACCGAGTGGTCCAGTAGGGCTGATAGCAATAGTGGTACAAGAACAGATCAACACTAGGAGCAATATCCAGTTCGTGACAACGGATGATGAAACCGTTCCGGATGCGATAGGTGTTGGGCACAAATTGAGCAGGGAGTACAGAAACCCGACGCAGAAACTCCACAATGAATGGATATAGAGGGAAACGAAGCCTAGCAATCAAGGCATCAAAATGCACAAGCACGTGCCCCGGTCGGTGCCTCATGGGATGCCTGATGAATCCAGTATAAAACTCCCTAGGCGGAGGCAAAAGTTGGCGAAGTTGCCGTTCAGCGTCTTCAGGAAGGCGTTGCCGTTGTTTACGAATACGGGTGAAATGCAAAGGAATGCGAGGTCGCCGTTCAGGCATTTCCTTGTTATATATTTTAAGGTCATCTCCTGAAAGACATCCGTCATCTAGAGGCTGTTCGGCATCTTTTGATACAGGAGGATTAATAGAGTCAGGTGCTTGGGAAGGATTATGGCGCCTTTATGGTAATTCAGCACGTTCCCCGAACGATCACTAAGTGATTCATGAGGAAAGGATTAGCAGTTTTGAGGAAGTCATCTTTGAGACACCAAACGATGAACATGTCAAGAGACGTCCTGAACCAAGGTCCACATAACCCATATGTTTGGAACAAATATCTTAGGATAGCCCGAACGGGTAATATTTCACTAAGATATCTAACCGATTCAAAGATGATATAGAAACAACAGAGGTACAGGATCCGGGCGATATTCAGAAAATGAGCGACTTGTAGAATCTAAGATAAGGAGTTGGTAGTGTCTATATTTGTTAGATATGGGCAGCAAACAAACCGAGCAGGGGTTCTACTAATAATTATGTGGGATAGAAGGAACATCAGAAACAAAAAGTTCGAAAAACGACTAAGCCCTACAGAACTTTCTGAAGCCCGGACGGCAATCCAAATGGCATTAAACACAAGAAAGAGTTCAAGTCCTACAAAATTGTCGGAAGCCCGAACGGCGATACAAAGAAGGATCAGAAAAAATTGCTAAGTCCCATGAAACGAACCGATTACCGTCTGGTAAAGCAAAAAATTGGTAAAGACGAAGAAAGACAGTAAATAAAGCATTGGGCAAAAAAGATTTCAGATATATTCATCGGCTCTACTGGTCAGGAAGTACAAAGATCATATGCAAAAAAGGAGAAGGGGGAAGAAATTACAATTACTAAAGTACTTGGTAAAATCTACTGGTCAGGGGCCTCTTTATTTTCTTCATCTTCCTCCTCATCCTCATCATCATCCAGATCAGAGGGGGGATTAAGCTCCCTCCCTGCTTCGCGATCAGCGGCCCGTTGTAGATCCCGCTAATATTTTTCGAACTGGGCCTCGACAATGGCAGCCGAAGGGAGATCAGAAAGCTCGACCGGCCTCCCCAGCAGTTCTTGGAGCTTGGCCATGAAAGGGATCAGGATATGCTGGCAGCCCATAACATAGAGAGATTGGGCCAGGGAGTCATTGGATTTTTTAACCCTAGGATACCGATCGAGCAGCTTCACCCCTTCTCTACGCCGAACATCACCTTTGGGGAATTGGTCAAGATAAGCACCAAAAGTGGTCGGGAGCTCCTGCTGCGCATATTCCTTTTGTAGGGCGGTAAACTCCTCAGAAGATTTGAATGCCTCACGAATGGCGGACAGATCAACGTTCACCTCAGCAGGACCGTCCGGGATACAGGGAGCTGTTTCTTCAAACCTCACCAAAGCAGCTTCTGCGGCATAAACTTTGGCTTGAAAGGCCCCGAGCTGGACCCTAAGCTCACCAAGCTCAGACTCGAGCCGTTGTTTTTCTTCTGCAGAGGCTTTCCGTTCGGCCTCCAGAGTGGTGAGAGCAGCAGCCGTATTTTGCTCAGCGGAGGTTTGGGCAACGATCAAATCCCGTTCCTTAGCCAACCGAGCCTCCCTCAGTTGCAGGCTGTAGAGCCCCACCTACAAGATCCCGTTCGAAAACAAAAGATGAAACAATATGGGATAAATGATAACTTATAAAACAAAGTACAGAAGAAAAAATAAAATACCTTCAAAGCTGCTAAGGCCAATCATTCTTCAAACTACTCGACCGGCAGTTTAGGAACAGCAAAATTATTAAACCACGAAGAAGTGGACCAGATTTGGCTTGCAGAACAGCCAGCTTTCTCTAAAGTGTCATGAACGGGATCTGCTAGAGATATCCGTTCGACCTGACCAGAAAGGTGAACGGTATTTGTCTCACCTGCAGTCATGTTGGCATCTTGAGCAACCTGAAAGTGCTCGGAGAATTGATGTAACTGATCAGATCCGAACCGATCGTCGGTCAGCATTTCTTCAAACTGATCCTGATGGGGGGCCTGTTGAATTGGTTGTGGCTCCTGAACGGGCTTAGAGGACCCGATATCTTGACAGTGGTGGTGGAGGGGTTGGCCTTAGGATTCTTCTTTGCTTTCTTCCTTTTCCCGACTCCACCAGCAACAAGGACTCGGCTATCATCTATAGTAGCGTCTGAATTGGGGACTGAAAAAATAAACAAAGGTAAGAGTTAGTACCGAGCGGCCTTATCACGTGGGAAACAAAGAAAATTGGAACGTTTCTCGCACGGGAAGGACCGCCTGGGCCATGGTACTTGGTTCTTAAACAAGTAGACCCAAGAGAGTGGGCAGTACCTATCCTAGTCTTGATAAGTTGATCGGGGGTCAGATATGCTAGAATGTTGCAGACTTTGGCTTCCTCCACTGCAAAAACGTCCTTGCAAATCATCTCAGTCAGAACTGGCTCCGGTGATT